ATGATCAAATTGTGTTTATCCCAAGAAGGCAAGGTTGGTTTACTATTATAAAGCAATGAATGTAATTCACTACATTAAAAAACTAAAAAGAAGATCACCTCAAATGATGCAAGAAAAAGCATTTCACAAAATCCAATGTCCAATCTTTTTTTTTTTTTTTTGGTAGATTTTTTGAAACAGGGTCTCACTCTGTAGTGTAGGCTGGCCTTGAACTCACTATGTAGCCCAGGCTGACCTTGAACTCACAGTGATCTTTCTGCCTCAGCTTCCTGAGAACAGGAATTACACCCCTGTGCCACCATGCCTGGCCTAAACATCCATTCTTGATAAACACTTCAGCAAAGTAGGAATAGAAAGAAACTTTTTCAACTTGATTAAGGCCATCAAAAGAAAGAAAAGACTCAGTTAATATTACAGAGTGGTGAAAGAATACTTTCCCCACTAAGATCAGGAACAACACAAAAATTCCTGTTCTCTCCACTTTGAACACATTGTACTAGACATTCTAGCTAGTACAATAAAGAAAATTCATTCATAAAGAAGTAAAACTGTCTTTAATCTCAGACAATATGATTATCATTTAGACAATCCAATGGAATCCATTTTTTAAAGCTACTAAAACTATTAAATAAATTTAGCAAAGTTGTAAGGTATAAAATCAAGTCATAAAAACAATTCTTTTTAAATATACCAGTGATAACATGAAATTTTAGAAGCAGTATCATTTATAACATCAAAAATATGGCCACATTAAAAAAAAACACTGAAAACCACCAAACACTTCAGAGAGAAATTAAAGAAGATCTACATAAATGAAGAAATATATCTTCTACTTCAGCAGAAAGACTCCATACTATTAAAATGTCACTTCAATAGGTCCAGCCCACACAAGCAGAGGGGATTATATAAAGTCAAAAATACTAGGAGGTGGAGATTACTAAGAGCCATATTGGAAGTCCTCCTGTTACAGGTGTCAATATTATTAAAGTATCTCCTCATATATTTTTGTTGTTGAACAATTATATAATTCCTTTAAAAGGACTTTGTAGCCGAGTTACCTGCTTCAGTTTAAATCTTGGTTTTCTTAATTACTGTACGGCCTTGCCCATTTAATTTTCTTTTGCCTCACCTTCTTGATCCATAAAATGTAGACAGCAGCAATACTTATCTCATGCACTTTAAGGTTTAAATGATTAAGTACAGTATCTGTAAAGCATCTGGCACACAATAAGCATTTGTTTATATACATACATCAATATATCCATAAAACCAATATAAGTACTATAAGTTCTATTTCTTAAAGTTAAGTAGTTATTACAACACATTCTTCTTTAACTGCTTAAAGACTACTACTACAAGTAAAGCGCGGTATTATAGTCAAGGTGTGTACAAAAATAATTCATTAAATTACATGTACTTAGTCAACCTTAGGCACTGAGGGAAAAGTACCAACTTATTTCCATTTTTAGTTGAAGTTTCAAAAGCATACTTAATACCTAAGATGGCTATAATAGGCCTGTTCTGCTGAGTGCTAGTTTGTGCTTGTTCTCAAAGATTATGGTTGGCCCACTTTTCACTCTTAAAAAATGTTCCAGTTTACACAAGAAACCATATAATCACCCTAGTTTGTCATAATCCTAGACTGGGGTAGAAATTGAATCTAGATAAACAATTTTTAGTAACGAACCAACAAGGCAAGGACAATGGGAAAGGAAACTGAAGGAAGAGGACAGGCACTGGTAAGGGGACAAACAGGAATGACGGAACTGGAGTGGTACAGGAATAATAAATGCTTCAAAATATCCAAATATCAAAACCAATTTGTTCACAATGAATTTATATTATGTTGCCTAGAAGCCTACCACATTCTTAAAAGCTTAGTAATAGGTCATTAAATATTTAAATGGCATTTCCTCAAGGATTAAAAAAATCAGATGAACATGAAGAATGTTAATATATAATATTTAATATCCCTTTCTTCTATCTGTTCTCATAAATAATCATGAAGCCAAGATATAATCCTGCTAGATACATTTTTTAAAAATAAGAAAACTTGTTTAAATCTATACACTACAGGCCCATTTCTAGCAAGAAAGCATTTTATAGCTATTTTTAAACTCCCATCTAAAATCATTAGTTAATTTACTTTGGAAATTCTAATACCTTTATAATTCAGCAACCCTAAAGTAAACAGTCATGATCCCTTAAGCGGATAAATATGACCACTTTAAAGACCAAATTATTTGACTTAGTGTGCATTTTTTACTTCTATACTTTAAGATGTGTTTACAAGTTCTGCTCTTTTCACTAAAGAAAAATTATAAAACTATAACAATTTTTAAAATAGCCTATAAACAAAGGCATTCTTAAAAGTTAGGTATTTTGACTTTCTTAGAACTTAGGTAATAAGAATATAGTACTAACATATACCACAACATGGGTGAAACTTAAGGTTTTCTTGAGAAGCAAGCCATGAAAAGGCTCTCCACTTAATGTATGATTCTTTATGAAAGGTCCAAAACAGACAAATCTGTACAGTGTTAGGTTCAAATTTGCCTGAGGGTTGGGTAAAAGAGACCAGAATGAGAGGAATACAGAATGAGTTCCTTCGTGAGTTAGAGAATATTCTAAAATTAATCAGTGACACCCTGTGAATATACTAAAAAAAAAAAATGAATTGTAGTTCAAATCAGTGAATCATATGGTCTGTGGTTTATATCTCAATAAAACTATTACCAAAAAAAAGAATTCAGACTATAATTTGAACCCTAAATATATAAACTCTTACGTGTTAATATCTTAAAAATGGAAACACATGTTTCCAGTACTTTGTAGAAGAGAAAGCCAAGAAGTGTATGCATTAGTCTGTCATGATAATTGCTAATCATGGATGATAATGCTAGTAAACACTCTATCACCAAATTCCTATTGAATTTCAGACTATGTATGGATTTCTTGAATATCTTACCACATGATAAATTTAGAAATTGGCTTGACTTTAAACTTTTGGTAATTATTTCCTGATTTCATGCAGGAATAAAAGTAGCTTAAATAATATATCAAATTGTAGGGGTTTAGTCCTAAGTAATTGTTAATTTACAGTTTGTCAATACAAAGTTTAACGCAGTATGTGAAGTAATGCATGTTAAGCTAAAGCATAATTTAGATATTACACAGTGTATACTATATCAAAACAGCATGTTGTACACTGTAAATATATACTTTTGTCAATTTAAAAAATAAATTATAAAAATACAAAGCTTACTAAAGATAATTTGAAAGTCTTATAACAAGTTAGCTTAACTGTATATGTACATTTCTGTTTTACCTTCTTAAATTATACTATTACCATTGCAAATACAAAGTGTTAATTATTTCTTGACCCAACTGCAGTACTTTCATCTACACTAATCATATCCATATTTTTTTTACACAAAGGTCTCTAATTTAGCAAAACTCCCAGTGTATTTTTAATTCCTAAAGTATATTCAGGAACATTCCAGACCACAAGACTCTGAGGGATTGTAGAGTTAATCAGACTGATGTCAATATATATGTACATAGAACCATACTATGTTTTTATTCAGCAAATATGTCATGAACAAAAGTTTCTGTTTTATGATACCAGGTAGATAAACTCAATTAAACTGAGTATAACTGCAGAAATTAATAAACTCAGAAACTTCAACTATATGACTCAGTTAATGGAAAATTTTTCAAAGCTAAACATGTAAACATATTTCATATATAATATATACATTATATATTTTTAAACTCCCTACATACATCTTAATGTAGTCGATGAGCATACAAATGATCACACCAAAGATGAAGTATATGTTATGTACTGCCTTAAAAAAGTAACAAAGGTTATTCTTAGTCAAGACAGAATAATATTACCATTTTGCTTATTGCTAGTGTTACTTTAAAATACTGAAAAGAGGTCAAAAGACACACTTACTTTAAAACTATTTAAACATAATTTTCTGACAAATCATTAAAAAAATAAAACAAAGCTGGCCCAGCTTTTCTGAAGTCTGAGACAGGATAATTGCTTGAGCCCAGGAGTGAGGCCAGTCAGCCTGGGCAATACAGCAAGACCTCATCTCAAAAGAAACAAAAAATTTTAAACATAAAGATAGAAATGATAGTATAATCAAAGACAAGATCACCAGGTTCGATTCCTACTCTTTCACCTACTAGCTGAGTAACCTCAAGAAACTTAATTAACTATTTTGAACTAATTTCCTCTTTTCTAATGAGGAAAAATAATTCTATCTACTTCACAGTGTTGTTACTAGGGAGTAAAGAATAAAAAGGATTTGAATACAATTTTGCAAAACTGGAAAGCAATATATGAACCACTAGGTTATTATAAAGTAACAATTTTTCTTAAGAAAAAAGCTAACAGTATAATAAATCTGCTTCCTTATATTAGGTATTAATTTAAATATTTTCAGTTAAGTAGATATACAGGTGAGTAAATTGTGTAACAACCAATTCCTCTTCCCTTTTAATAAATCAACACAAATTAAAACAACTTGGAAGTAAGAATGGTTAATATATGTTATAACAAAAAGTAACTTTTTTTTTCAAAGAATTTGGGACTGAACCCAGAGCTTTTGCACTGAGCTATATCCCCAGCTCTTTTTTTGTTGTTTTTTGAGACAAGGTTTCACTAAATTGCCCAAGCTGGGCTCAAATTTGTTATCCTCCTATCTCAGCCTCTCAGAGTGCTAGAATTACAGATGTGCACCACAACAGTCAGCTAAACTTTTATTTTTAAAATAAGTATTTTCTCATGCTTTGGGTATTTTGTTCAACTAACTAATCATATATGTGCTTCAAATTAAATATTATAAATATGATTTACCAACAGAAGGAAAGTTATTACTATTTTGCTCTTTCTATACTCATTACCTAACTGAGGCTTTTAGATAGAACCAAACACATGGAACAAACAAAACAATCAAAGGAAAAATACTTGCAATAAACCATACCTAGTAATAAGAACTGCATTATCGTGGTGGGCAATCCCATTTTCTGGAATGGTGTTTCCATCACTTTGGTGAGAGAGAATGGATTTCTGCCATTTACAGAAGCTATCGAGAGACTTGTCTGCATGGTGGTTTATCTCCAAGTTTGGCTGCAATACAACATGCATACCAGAAATGTTCCAAACAAATTACTAAGGTCAGTTGTTAAAACTTTTGAAGGCTACAGTGGGAGTATAATTAGAACCAGTGGTTTCTGGGAATAATCTCTCCAATTTTTATCTCTGCAATAACTGATCTATAGTTCATTTAGTTTATTATTGAACAGACATTCTTTACAGTTCCAGCTTTAACGATAATATGAACATAAGTGAGATTATCAGCATGCAAGATCAACCAAAACCAGTATTACAAAGTATGCCATGCAAATGATCATCCTTATACTGAAACATATATCTAACATACTCTTACACACATAGGAAAGAAAGCTTTAACAAGATATGAGACATATTCTTGTAAAGTATTTAAAATTTGCTTAAAACATTACATGTTTGGAATTAAGAATCACATTTAACCAGCACATAAGAGGAGAAATGAGGAAATACATTCTTTTCTAATAAGTATTTCCATTGCCTAAGAGTTTAAATTTATAACTAATTCATTCTTACCTGATCTTCTGTGAGAACAATTAAGCGGGCCACTATAATATTCACAACGTTTCCTAGGCTGGAATCACGGTAAAGTTTGGCAACCTGACCTCCAGAAAATAAGAAAAGACACAAAGTCAGACAAAAATCACAGGATGATAGTTTGATTTTTTAAACTGGTAAAACAATATTTTATGACTTTAACCTTTATGTAAATAAAAAGGTAACCTTTTATATTACGTTACATGGAACTCTACCCTCAAGATGCCTTGCAACAAATTTTTACACATATCTACATCAAGAAATATTTTCTCCTAGAGATGAATTTCATCACTGTAATTAAGAGTGAACTGTTGGGCCAGGGATGTAGCTTAGTGGCACCACACCTGCCTCACAAGTGCAAGGTCCTGAGTTCGATCCCCGGTACCAAAAAAAAAAAAGAGTGAACTGTTTCAAGTTAAATAAAACTGCTTAAACAATATTTAACAACATATTGAAAATATTATCTAAAAATTAATAATAAGGTCATCTTTAAATTTGTTTTGATGGAACTTAAACATTAACAGACCAGTACTGGAGCTGAGAATATAGCTCAGTGGTAGAGCATGAATGAGGCCCTTGATTCAATCCCAACTACCAAAAAATAAATTTTTAAAAAATTATTTACTATTTTAAAAAGATTAATTCTTATTATTTATTTCACAGTAAATATTCACAAACGTAGTACAAAACATAACAGACTGCTAAATAAAATATTGTATAGAGGGATCAAACTTACAATATTCATCACACTCAAAACGTAATGCTCAATGTCTTTGCGGCCATGGTAGCCCACCATCATTTTGTCTGCCACTACCAATGTCTCCACAAACCGTTCAGTGCTCACTGATCTCTTCTGTCTGTGGTGGATTTGTGTATCATTAATTGGTAGCAAAGAAGGAAATGCAGATGATGTGTCATTCAGCCACCAAGGTTTGTCACTTCTTGGAAGGTCTACAATAAAAACAATTCAGATAGATTCACCAATTTACCATATTTATTTACAGATTTTTCATGTGGATATGCTTCTCATAAATTCTCTAGTATATTAAGATTTTCCAAAAGGGGATGAAGAAATACAACAATCAGAAAAACTCTTAAATTTTCAAATTAATTATCTAGAAAAAAAAAATCCAACTGCTCATGAAAACAAAATAAACCTATAAAATAAATTATCTAATAAAAATTTTTTCAAATAGTTGTTTCATTTTATTCCGGTGAGTTATTATCTCATAATGCTTTTAAATTTAGAATATATACCTTAAAATTGTTTCAAAAGCAATTGGGGCATAACTTTTGAAACAGCCATAAACAGTTTTGATGGAAAACAATGATATTGCAAAAATCTAATCCTAAAATGATTCTGAATATTTATTTTAGAGTAAGATGCTTTTATTAAACTATCTGATTTAGAATCAATTCTTTTCCTTCAGAAATCTCAATTCTAAAAGGCTATGAATTAATTTTTCACATAATTTTGCAGCCTATGACTATGAACATATATATTTATACTATTCCTTTTCCAAAGTCTAAAATGAGAGTGGAAAGATGACTCCAGCACAATTTGCTTTAAATCACACTGTTTTGTGGGTTATGGCTTGTGTCTAGATGTCCCTCTAAAGCCTCATGCAGTTGTAGGTTCAACTTTTTCAAAGGCAGCTGAATCTAGAGCGTGTGATTGATTCATGGTGCAATGCCAGGCTCAAGGGCACTAGGATTAAGGGTGTGAGTGGTACCTGCCCTAAGTAGTCTGGATAAATAAAAGAGGCAGAAAGACGCTATTAAATTCCCTTGTTGCTTTAGCTGTCTTCTGCTGCCACGAATTGTTGCCCCTCTGCCATGTGCCATGCTGCCTTGGAGCCAGTCGATTATAGACTAAAACCTCTACAAACTGTGAGCTAAATAAATCTTTCCTCCTGTAACTTTGAGTGTAGAGTATTTTGTCTCAGCAATGAGAAAAATAACTAAGACAGTGTGGATCACAGTGTACCTTTCATTTTCTAGACATTTCGTCCTTCTGTACTGAGGAACATTTTTATTACATTTTTACATTTGTATTGCATACACTGCCTCATTTGTATTCATCTTCATTAAATAAACTTGAACAAGCAGATGTCCTCTACACACCTCACTTTCATATCCTTACATTAAACTGAAAATCTTTCTTACTAATACTGAAACAATTAGTGAGGGAAAATTAAATTAATATTATTACATATTTGACAATGATACTATTCTCATTCTTCTAACTTCATTAGCCTTTTCCCTTTAAAAACTGCACTGGTAGGATGGATAAATTTTAAGAAATTAGAAATGGAAATGATCATGAAAAGAATCACCTTCAAAACTAATATAAATTAAATGATTATCTTTGTTCCTAAAGGTCAATAATGGCAAAGACATTCCACTTCTTATTTCAATAGTATATTCCAAGAAAGCGAGTGTTTCCTTATGTCTTGTTGAAGACAGACTGATAAGTTGGCCTCCATGGGCCCCACTCCTTGACATTCACACTCCTCTTTGATCCTTTTCCTTTTGTGTATGGGTAGGGCCTCTGACTTGATTCTACTCAATAAATACAGCAAAGATGACAGGACAAAAGTGATTATGTGTATGTAAATACACAATTAGGTTGCATAGTACTATAGCACCTGTATATTCTAGTCTCTCCCTTCCTGACTTGGGGAAAGCTAGCATGTTGGTGAATCCATGGCAAAGAGCTGTAGCTTGCCTCTGACAACCAGAAAAAAACTAAAACCACAAAATATCTGAATGCTACCAAGAACCATGGGACCAAGGAAATATTCTGTAAGTCAAAATTCCAGATGAGAACCCAGTCCTGGCTGAGGCTAAGCAGATAACCCATCCATACAGGTCCTAACCTACAAAAGCTGTGAGATGATAAATGTATATGGTTTAAGCCACTGTGTTGGTAGTAATATTGTTGAGAAACAGACAAAATGTTTTCTGCATCAGTATATTTTCAATTTTTTCTTGGTCAGTCTTCTGTGATCATAAAACCATGCATGTATTCAAGCCATCCTTCATCTTTTCTTTCTCTGACTAGATAGCTTAAATATCCAAACATAAGATTTAATTTCCAATCTTTTGGCCATTTCTGCTTCTTTGATGCTTTCAATTCTTCTGTATTTTAAAGTATTGAAAGAAGAATTAGATATTATCAGGCACTAAACAATTAGCAATGTTATTTTTCACTTTAAAAGTATTCTAGGGGCCGGGGATTTAGCTCAGTGGTTCTGCCGCCTGCTTCTCAAATATAAGGTCCCGAGTTCGATCTCCGGTACCAAAAAAAAAAAAAAAAACCGAAACAAAAAGTATTCTGGGTAATTTCACTGCTATTATCATCATCTTTCTAATTGTCATATTTTTCAAAATTTATTGTTTTAATTGTCAGTTTGCCTGGCTATCGGAACACAAATTTTTTTAATAGTCTCTAACTTTTTATTTATGAATGCCCATCAAAGACATTATATATAATCATATATAATTATATATTTAATATTATATGTTTAGAAACATAATGAACAAAATCAATAGAGATAGCATATTCAGTTTCATTTCAAAGATTAAATTAATCCAATATGCTGGATATGATAAGTATTTATTTAATGAGTAATGAGTAAGCAAGTAGATAATGAAGATAGAGGTAATATTATCTATATCAATGGAATGAAAGGATATTGTTATTTCTAGATGCAAGAATAAAATTTTTGGGTTTTTGTCTAGGTTTTCTAAAAAGAACAGATATGACATCCTTAAGAAATGTTTAAAATTCATAATTTGAATTTAATTAGAATGGAAAAATTCTGTATCTGAATATGGCACAAATATAACCAGTGTCAAAGGATTTTTATATCCTATATTTCTACATTAATTTGACTTGCTCATAACAAACTGGTAATGTGTGTCTCTAAATTCACATCTTTCACTTGGCCTACGCTGTTAAATCAGTTTCATAATTAATTTCTTGGCCAGACATTTCATAAACTTATTAACAAAAAGTACTTTTTTTTCTCAATAATATCTAGTAATATTTCTTGGAACTCAAAGAGCTACTACATACAATATTCCCACTAATGCGAAGGCAGTGAAGTGTTTAAAAGTGTGACAAAGACAGATTTAACTAAAAATAGGATAAACTGGGAGACATGAGACCAAGCAGTTAGAAAGTCAGTACAGTAGTCTAAAAAGAAAATTAAGTCTGAACTAAATGGACTGGTGTTAGGGACAAACTCATAGAATGTACTAAACAGAGTACTACTTAGGAAATTGTATCAGTAAGCCAGGAGCAAAACAGTAAAAAAGACAAAAATCTCTCCCCAAAAGGGCAAAATTTTCTGATAGCAATAAAAGTGGGTTTGGAAATGTTCAATACCTGTTTAATCACTGAAAAATAAAGTCTGCCTGAGGTACAATAATGTAACAGGCACTTCAGAAAAGAGTAATTTGAATATGAAAAGATTATGACATGCCTTTCAAAATATGATGAAATCTTCAATTTTATTTTTTCTCTTTTCGTTTTGTGGAACTGGAGATGAACCTAGAGAGCACTAAGTTACATCTCTAGCGGTTTCCTAACTTTATTCTGACACAGTCTCAGTAAGCTGCTCACACTGGCCTCAAACTAGAAATCTACCTAGTATCTGGGATTATAGACATCTACTGCTACACCTAACATGAATCTTCAAATATTTTTTACAGAAAGTGATCTACTTTACAATCATAAAGTGAAGGATATTATATTACAGGAAAGTGTCAAAATAAACAACTAAATATTTGAATCATAGTTTTTAAAGAATTCATATATAATTGTATTTACAACCTAAATTTAATTAAATACAAGATAAAATAAACTTATTTTGATACTGTTCAGTTTTACTACTCAATCAAACTTTTTCATTGTTTAGTTAGAAATTTTATTTCATGTTTTAAGTGGATTTACTTATTTTAGTGGCCTTTTCTAGAACCAACCATTTTTGACCAACAAGGACTTTCTGTTACAAAAAGTCTAAGCGATATTTAAATCCTTATTTAAGAAGAAAACATGCAGAATAAGATGCTGTTGCACAAAGTACTCCAAAGACCACTTAAATCCTTGAGAATGAAGAAAAGTGACCCCATAATGAACACGGAGAGGAAACAAAAGGATAATTCATTCATTAATTCGCAAGGTAATCAATTGCATTTTTTATTCAATCTATTTATTGGTAAACTTTTCTTCACATTAAATTGAAATCTCCCTTAGAAACATTTTGCCACTATTTGAAGCTATTAGAACTACACAGAACAAGTTTAGAAAAAAAACTTTTAAAAATGTAATTGATCTTTAAATACCAGAAACAGTCATCTTAATAATAATGATACTAGGTACAATTTGACTGAGTAGTATGAGCTGAGATGAGCACTCAGAGGGTTAGGAAATCCGTCCAAAACTACATCAAAGCCCATAGTTTTTTCACTATGCTGTGGTATATCTACTGTACTATTCCTCTTCAGTGTTCTTAACTTTAGATTAACATTCTCCTAACTCTGTACCTCTAATCTTGTTCTTCTCTAATTCAGTTTTCACATAGCTGCCAGAGTCTGACTATGCCATTCCTTCTACTTAAATTCTTTTAACAAGGTTCCAGGTCACTTAGAATAAATACCTTAATACGGTAAGCCCTTCATATTGGCCCCTATTAACCCTTCACTTTCATTACACACAACTATTCCCCTCAACCACTATGAACCTCACTTCCATCTCTCAAACTCACATTCTAGTCCAATTATATGAACTGTAAATTTCTGAAATGTGAGTCTTCAAGTCTTATTCAAGTGTTTAGATTCCCACTATGCACTAATGTGAAAATATAACCCAACAAAACAATACAAAGTACTGTGGAACATCTATAAATAAAACTTATAAGTATTATCTGGATAAGGTAAGATTTTTTCAATCCATTCTAAGAAAAAAAAATACATTAAGTTTTACAGACTTATATTTTAAGGACTTCTCAAAAAGCCTCTAAATTGACTTATAATTATTGGTAGATGGCAAAATTTTAAGGGGGCTCTGGACGTAATTCCAATCATTCAAATTCCCATTTACTTTTATTGTTAGCCTTACTATGCTGTCCAGAAGAAAGAGAAGGCAGCAATACAAAATCATATGCTCTCCAAAAGTTGCATACTTACCTGAAACCCCACAATGAGAGTGATGATAGAGATGTCGTTGTTGAAGGGTAGACTTTTTGTAAATAACATGAGGATGGCCATTTTCATAACTAAAATGCTTGGAATCCTCTGTAGTATTATTTAAAGGTTCAATAAAATATTCTTCATCCTCTGTAGCAATAATACCATGCTAAAACAAAAAGAAACAAAGGATTTACCACAAAGAATCACTTTAATTAGCTATCATTATTACCAAGAATAAAAAACAAATTGACACCTCTCCAAAAAAAAGAGTTAAAATACACACTAATTTAAAAAGCTGGTCTATTATCTGTCCTCAGTAAAACATATAAATTTCTGTCCTTTAAAAAAGATGTTTAAATACCTCTATATACTATCCACTACATATACTGGACATATTTCTTCCAATTTTCCTAACAACTCTGAGAGGTAGCAGAGAACTCTATGTGAATTTCAAAGCTTATCTCCTTCCTAAATTGTATACAAAACTTAACTACACCATCTGTATTTAAGTATAGCTTTGTCATTAAGTTTCAGCCAATAAGAAATGGGCAGAGGGGGCCAGGGATTTAACTCAGTGGTGCCACTGTCTGCCTCACAAGTGCAAGGTCCTGAATTCGATCCCCGGTACCAAAAAAAAAAAAAAGAAAGAAAGAAAGAAATGGGCAGAGGACTGTATAACCCCTTCAGGCCAAGCCCTTGAACATCTCTCCAATGGAATTCTTCACTCTCTTTCTCTATTGCCAATTAAATGGAAAGATCTAGGGGAGGTAGAAAAAGGCAAGGCACATGGGTCCCTGAATGATCTCTTTCTTGGAAAACCAGCTGATGTAAACACTGATATAGGGGGAAATAAATTTTTATTGTGATAACAACTGACATTTTAAGGTTGATGTTACACTAATTAGTATTCCTTAATTAACATACATCCCCATTTTGCAAATGAAGTAACAGGCTCAGTGATCAAGAATGTGCCCAGTACTATATATAGGAAAGAAAAGGTGCTGAAATTCAAACAAAACTCTGCTGTTATTCACAACATGTCACACTACATCTACACATTTAGCCAAGTGCTACTCAGCTGTTTTATCCTCTCTTTAAATGCTTCTTCAGCCCAAATGCAATAGCTTCATTCTCCTCTGAGCTCCAGTAGAGGTTATCATTATCATTTACTTTCAATTAATGCCGCGGTTTTGTTCCATTTCAAATCTTGAAGTTTTTATTTATATCTAATACAACTTTTCAACTGGATCGTACTTCCCGACTAGATTATTTGCTTTCTTCAGGCGAAGGGATAGCTCTTGTATTCCCTTATATCAGTTATAGCCACAGAAAGAGTTTCTTATAGTAAAAGTTATTTGCATCAAAAAGAAGAACTTCCAAAAATAAATAAAAATCCCCCCTTTTCTAATAGTGTTCTCCTAAGAAAGGCACCTGAGAGAATTAATCCAACTAATTTACTTTGTAACACTGGATAAAACACAAACTCTGTAGATGTATTTCCTCAATTGGAAAAATGAAAGGGTTGGTCTAAATTAGCTGTTCTAAAACAGCACTCTAGGAGCCCTAAAGGCCTGCTGAAAGTGCCCTCCGGAGATTGCCCCAGACAACAAAGGGAGATCTAAATGGCTTGGATTCCTGGGCTTAGAATCAGCTGTGCTTTTTATTAATCTGTGTATTAAGTTTCCACATAACATTTCATATGAGAAAAGGGTTTTGCTGCTTCAAAAAGAAAAAAAGTTGAAAACCACTGGACCATGTAATCTCTAAGGTCCCTTTGAAATCTCAACCTCTGTGGTGCTGTCTAGAGAAATTCATGTTAAGTACTACCTGCTTGGAAAGAAAGATAAAACAAAATCAAAAGTGCTCTTACCTATAACCTACATGAAATAAGTTCAAAAAATGAAAAAAAAGCAGCCCTTAGTCACTGTATATTATTTTTACTGTTGTTTGCTTTAGATTATGGTTAATAGTCTTTATATTACACGTAAATACTGACAAGGGTAACAGCATGCCATTAACAGACTACAATACCTGAGCATTAAATGTTTTACCAGGTAGCTTAATACTGTAATGAAAACAGCATGCAGTTCTTGCAGAAAATGTACAAGTTTTAATAAAAATTTTGCTAGGGGGAAGTGTAGAAAGTGAAATCTAGGATACTGTCTAGAAAGGACAGGGCACTAAAGTCTCCCTAGTCTCTGGCAATAGGAAGTTGTAAAGTCCTGGACAAGAAACAAAGGTTATTGGTGGAAAATGGAGTCAAGGCCGGGTAAGTAAAATCTGTAAATTATAGAAGGACTTTGAAAGGGCAATCAAGAGATTTTATGCGTTAGATATTCTGTAAAATGTTTATACACATTATCTTAATCTTAATACCTCTTTGAAGTAAGTACTGTGATCAGCTCCACTTTGCAGATGAGAAACTCAGGTAGAACAAAATTAAATAAAAAATTCATTTGACTGACTTTGGAGCCTGGGCTCTTAACCAATATAGTACAATTCTCTTATCCTCTAAGGGCTGTTTCTGGCTTTATTTATTCATTCCACAAATACATTTTGGCTGGCTATCATGGGAATAATATTGTGCTAAGTGGTATTAATATAGCAGTACACCAAACAAAGCTTCAGCTCTATCATAATACTTACTATTCTAATAAAAGTAGTGAAAAAAAGTAATTAGTTAATTAGATAAATTATTTGTTAGGTAGCAATAAATATTAAGAATGAAAAAATGCACAGTAAGAGGAAGTAAGAACTATACAATTTATTTAGGATAGTTGGGGACATTCCCTCCAATAAGGGGATTTTTGAATAGAAGCCAGCATAAAGCAAGTCAAATAGATATTGTAGGAAACAGCAGACTGCAGAAACAGCAAACGCAAAGAGAATGAGGTAGGAGGACACTTGCAGTATTTGAGAAATAGCAAGAAGCTACACTGACTGACTAGAGGGTGAGAAAGAGAATTACAGGATTAGACAAGGGCTAGAGGCCAGATGATGGAAGACTGAGCTAAGCTGAAGTCTCAGATATTTGTACATGACTTTTTTCAGCAGCAACCCTCAGCTTTACACCATTTATCAGGCTTATCAGGAAGGATTTTGTAATGCCCCCACTCATATCAGTTCATATCAGTTCCTATGAGAAGTCTGAGTTGCATGTCCTGGATCCTCTTCCCTGTATGGATATGGATAATGTTTTCTGATCCCACTGCCTACTCCTCCTCTCAAACCCAAAACCAATCATCAACAACATTTCCTGTACTCTCAGCCTCATCTGTGACTATTCACTTCATCTTGTTCTAACAAAAACTTGAATATCTCTAAATGACAGTTTTTCTTTATAGACCTCTGAAATCATGGACACTTTCTCTTATACATGCCTCTTATTAGACTTGAAGATAGGGTTCTTACAATTTATTGCCATATCCATGCAATTCTCTCTTGCTCCTCAAGCAAAATACCGGCTTAAAATTTCTTATCTCCTTCTAATCTTATCTCCTTCTAGTTGCAGTTTTCTACTGGCCCCAAGCTACTCCATTAGTTTCTTAAATATTGTAGCTGCTGGATCACTGTCACTCTCTGCAATAAATCAAATAATTGTTGATTTCAATATCCTCTTATATCACAGGCTCTTAAAACATTTTATGGGTGCACCTGTGCTCTGATTCCCTTTGGGTATCTAGATGTGATACCCATGGATCCCTTCTCAAAATAATATTTTAAATGCAGAAAAAAATATGAAATTATAAATAAAATTAAATAGCAAAATACATACATATACTTTTTGTAACACGTTAACATCTTCAGTGGCTCTGATAACTGCAATAATTTCACAACAGTGATGAATAAAAATAATTTGAAAAGCATGCAAAAACTTGGGGGATAAAGTCATGGGTACTGATATTACTATATTGATTACCTATATTTTATAATTGAAAGAAATTTTAAAGTTTAGTTAAGTATTAGTAAAAATATTATCTATCTTTTATTTTGCTCTTTAATTTATACTTTGGATTTCTCATATAAGAGAAACCATGTGATACTTAACCTGTGTGCCTGACTTACTTTGCTTAGAATTATGGTCTCCAGGAGCATGATAGGAAATGGAGATAGACTTTGTGGAGATGGAAAGGGAATGTGGCAAGACAGGAGAGAAGAGAGGGGAAGAGGAAGAAATAGAATCAAGATGCGATTGTATATGTACCAATTCTCCACAATAAATGTATGTGTTAGGTATTGCAAACATATACTAATAATAAAATAAATACAGAAAAAAGAATTAGAGGACAAAAAAAGAATTAAGATGTGTTATGTACAAATTCTGCATGATCAATGTGAGCATTATGTACTGCAAACATGTACTTAAAAAAATAAGGATTTGTTTGGGCTGGGGATTTAGCTCAGTGGTCCCATCACCTGCTTCGCAAATACAAGGTCCCAAGTTCAATTCCCAGTACCAAAAAAAAAAGTTTTATTTATTCCAATTCATGATCCCCCTAAATTTTATCCATGGACACATATTAAGAACTACTAATGTAGATAATCTCTCAATCTCTCCTCTCCCATTTCCTTGACCTCCTCTCCTTCAAATATCTTGTCTTTCACCTTACCTTAGACATTCATGCCCATGGTTAAATTCTAGACTTTAGCATTATGAATATTTGCAACATTCCATAATCTTTATTTCAAGTATTCCACTCTTCTTTCTAGCACCATCCTTCCAACATCTCAACTCCAAGAAACAGTCTTTTATTTCCATCTAGACATTCAATCAATTGATCAGCTTTTTTCAGTCTTTCACCCACCTCATATCCTCGCTTCCCTTCCAAATCAGCTTCAATTCCACTTTGAATTCTCTAGCCCCTTTCTCACCTTACTAAATTCAGTTCATTTGGCCAACCACAAGCCTGATTAAAATAAATTTTGCTGCGTAGACCTGCACCTTTGCAATTGGACTTAGCCAGAGAAAAACACCAACAAGCTAATGGGTTCACGTTAAATTCATAATCATTAATTTCAACTGTGCCCTAACTAATATTCCATGGTATTATCTAGTTCATCCAGTATTCTACTCTCTTAGATAAACAAGGCATGCTTTTTCATGTCTTCTTTTTAAAATTTTTATTAGTACATGTTTGCAGTACATAATGCTTATGTTCCATATGT